TTTTTTTTCTTCTTGGGAAAACTCTATTGAATTCTTCCATATTCCTTGGGGATGTTTTGAAATGAACAAAATGGCAAGTGAGCATTAAACTGGGAACATACTGCTCCTTTCACTTGTAATCTCCTTCAGAAGAATTTAGATCTGCAGTATGCAAAGCTTGTTTACTACTGCTCTCTCACTAAATTCCCAATGGGCAAGGGAACAATGGACTTATCCACAATCTTCCACTAACTGTGTGGGCTTTGTAGAAAAGCAGAGATAATGCATTTATTAGTAGAAGCTATAACAATAGCATAAATAAGAAAAATTAAAAATATAATAATTGCAGCTATGGAAGGCTTGTAGAAAAATGGAGCTGCTATCTGGTAACCAATCTGCAAAGGAAGATAAATGAGACTCTAATGTACAAACATTCTGGACAGCTATGGTAGATATCCTCATACCATTTACTGGGTGTGTGGGGGGGAAGAAATTGAATCATGACATTATCTTAATACTGTAACTCCGGACTAGATGCAGCTAGCTTAGTCTGGAACTGTCTGCTGCTTCCCAGCACTTGGCTGCTGGCAGCCACTAAAGCTGATCTTGCTTCCTAGGCTCATTCTTGCCTAACGTCAGAGCAAAGCTGCTCAAAATGATGGGGAAATCTGAACTCATGCTGCTAGATAGCTGGGCAAAGCATGTCTCATTCTGCTCTGCTTTCTCACTTGGTCAGTGAAGCTGCACGATAATGGCTGTGAGAAGGGGCTCAAGCCTGTGATGGTTGACAGAGAAGATGCTAGTCCGGGTGGAGAGAAAACAAGACTAAAGACAGAGGTGTTTAGGAATCATTGCAAAGCAGCAGAATTTTGAGCTGCTTTTGAGGAAGCAAATTTTGAACTGCTAACTCAGAGTGTATATACACCAACATGACTTCTGGGTTTTAAAGCCATGGGCTGTAATTCAGGCTAGAGCTTTTGAGAACTATCTTTCCCTGTTGTCCTAGAAGACTCCATAGACTGTACCTCATTGAAGACTGTCAGTTAAATTCAGTGAAAACTGTTGTACTTCATTTCTTTCTCATATAAAATATGTACAGACTCTTCACAAAAATAGCCCTCCCATTTCTTTAATTATCTCAGTGTTGTGGGTTCTTTCTGTAGCCAAAAGATAAGCTCTTCAGGAAAAAACTATCTAAGGTTTTGATAACTGATTTTGGGGAAAAACAGGAAAGAATGCCTGGCTATCACACACAGCATGGGACATACTAAACATGACAGTGTTCTCATTTACTGCACAGATGTTTCACTTATGTAAAAGAAATGTACATTTTATTCCCACTGTAAATAAGAACCAAGAATAGTGGTCTTTTGAAGAGACAACAATGTTGTTTTCCTACTAGCCTGAGATAAAGGCATCTTGCCTAAGGCACACAAAAGTTATTTCTAAATGCAAACAAAGCAACTGGAAAAGGTACCTCTCATTTTCCAGAAGATTGCATTATTGCTAAATTCACTTTATTACATATGTTAGACCTTTCATACCTCAGTATTTTTTATAAAAATTGGAGTGCTTTACCAGGAGAGATATCTGATGGAATAGGGCTGATTTCTCCAATTAACATCTTTTGATGTAGTTGCTTGATATTAAAAGGTTCCACCGTGAAGGGTAATGTGCCGGTTAGCATAGCAAACATGCTTACACCTCTGTCAAAGAAAAAGACAAATATCAGAACTCCATGTAATGAAAATAATATTTTTTTTTTAAATTCCGCAAACCTATGAGTCAGGTTTCAGAGATTTGCCTTCAGTACCAAGAACAAGGTTATAAATTACCTCCAAGCAGCAATTTGTACCGAATACACATCTTACGCCTTTTTTTCTTTGTGTAAAGGCCATTTTATCTAGAAAAGAATGTCGTGGGAAGTGTGTATGAAATAGACTGTACAGTGAGTGACAGGAAAGTCTACAGTGTTGAAAGTGGAAACCTGCTGTTTATTTTTAAAATAAGCTCATTGGAGTGTCAGTGTAGTGTACCCAGCCCATCAGAATAAAGCATTTCGGTCTGGAGGCTGAGTGACAACACAGAGCTGGGACTGATGCGATAGATCCTGTTCCAAATAGTAATTCAGTTCTTCTTGCTTTGCTCAGATTGCTAAATTAGGTGTGACTTATGCCTAGAAGGCATTCGTTTGGTAACAGCTTGCTGTTGGCAAAGACTTAAAACTTTAACTCTTGCGAAAGACTAACAGTTTGCTAGGAGTGATCAGCAAACTTTGTGAAGGTTTGCCATTCGGTTTGGAGAAGTACCAATATTTGGAAAACTTGCTTAGCTGTCCCGAGTTTGCGAACGGGAAGGTTTCCTTGAACACTCTCCATGGTACTTCCTTACTTACAGCTGAGCTGTGCCACCACAACTGCACTTCCCGTCATCATCCATCCTTTGATTGAGCTCAATGGAGACAGTCATTTTAGGAATTCGGGAATTTTTAGGAATTTAATTGATCTGGTTGGTACGTTAATGCAGATGTTGATGATGTTATCTGTGAAATAAACCTGTTTGTGGTGTTCACAATTATGGTCTTTTTTTAACGTTTTCAAATTAAAAACCATTAAAAGATGATGGCACCATTGAAAAACCATGAGAAGATGGTGGCATCTTTTTCTAAATGTTGCACTGGATTGCATTTGAACCAGTGACCTATAAATAAATGCTTTTTATTACTCTTGACTTGGACTTACCTTGTCTCACTTTAACCATCTAAAACCTAGGTTTCAGTAGTTATCAATGGAAAGAGACAGGCTTCTCCAAGAGAGTTTCATCACAGCTATGTTAAACAGCTATTTTAGGCTACAGTTAAGTGTCTCAGGAGATGAGCTATCTCTTGGCACTGACAATAACAGGGCACTAACTGCCTGGTATAACCCAGATGCCTGGTTGTTAAGTGACTAAATTTAGGTGAGATTAATCTCTTCTCACTTTACCAAACCTTCTGATAAATCTAATCCTTGAATGTAACGCTTTCCAAAACTTTTCTGATGAATCCTTTGAGTAAAAAAACCCCAGAGGAACAAAGGAAATACACTGCAATAAAACAACACTGAGTTGACTGAAGTAGCAAGGATATTTGTTCTATAATATGTAATAGCACGTGGATAAAATGTAGCTGAGTTGAAGCAAGTGAAGGGCCCCTGAATATTCTCTGATGAGGGCGAGTAACATGCAGTGTAAATGGATCTCTAATGTTATTGCAACATTAAATACATTTTTCTTTTCAACACTGCAAACACTACCATGCACTTTAAATTGCTGGTGATGATATACATGATTGGTGCTTTAAAATGGCAATAGTTCTTTTCATCAGCCTACTAGATGGGGAAATCCCCAAGGTACAGGACTTTGGGGAATGGATGGAGCTGCCATCCTAAAATTTCTTTAAAATCTTACGTACAAATTGTAGCTAGTTAATAGTAATGCACTTAGTAGTTAATTGTAGATGGAATCTGATGGTATGCTAAACTTTAAAGTTTATTAGCTATAACAGACTATTTCTCCTCTATCCAACTGAACTGTTTGGATTTGTTTGAATACAGCAGCTGTTTCCTCAGTTCAGTTGGTACATGAAAGCTAATCACTTTCCAGTCTTCCAAAGAATCTTTAAAATCTTATGCACAAAAGTCATGATTAGGCAAAACAGGCGCTGTGTTCAGTGGTGCCTCATAGGAGCCTTAGCTGAACTGCAGTTGAAGCTGGTTGGTTTTCTGAATGTGCTTCTGTCTGAATATGGCTTTCTAGTTCCTGTTGTAATGAATCCTTGTCAGTCCTGCTGCATGAAGTCAGTATTTCTCCACTACACTGAAATCTGTTGATTCCAGGGTCCAGTTGATCTGTAACCCTTTAATTATTTTGTGACAATAGAAGTAACTTATTTTTCTAATCAATATATTATTCCATCAGAATCCCCTTTTTCACTGTGCAAATGTGAACACTTTATATTTAAATTGTGTTTTGTGCCTCAGATGCAGAATATGTCTATATTAAAAACCAAGGGCTACATATAAATTTTATATAGACTGTTATGTGATGGATATTAACAGAGTGAGCTCAGTAAATGGTTCTAAGGTTACTGTTTTGCCTTCATTCAGACATCTGAAATGTGAAGTAAGTATAATCCTATTTAAGTACCGACAGCATCCTCTAGACCTGATTCATCTGTGTTATGTCTACATAAATTCAGACTAGCACTCCTGAAATCCAGACTTACACTGAAGTAATTTGGTACAATTTGTCCCTTCATCCTTAAATTTGTGTACTGTTCGTGTCCTTTAAATTTAGAGGAAGCTGAGATATAGCATCATAGTTAGGTCAAAACCCTAATATACGGTATGTCTGCCAGAAGCAGGTCTTGAGAGGAATAATGTACATTTTATATTTGTATGCGTATAAATCCTCTTTCTCTTTTGAGCATATAGTAATACTGAGCTTCTCCTTTAGACATTTAAATCGGATGCCTATAGGTAGGCACCAGCAACCTTGTAGATCAAACTAAAACAAACTTTGTCCTCTGTAGATACAGAGTTTAGTAAAGACTGCTGAGAACTCCTCGAGGAGACTTCATATTCTTGCAGCTGGACAAGTGAGTCGGACATCCCAGTTCAGAGCAGCTCAGTACATCCAGGCCTCCTATTCCTTCTGGCAGGTGTCCAGAATGAGGTGGTTTGGGTTTGGATCAAATGCAGTGTTGTGTGTTGAACAGAAGTAAAACATTACGATCCATTGTATCAGTACAGTTGTGGGGTGGCATGGGAGGTGACATTTCTAAGACAAAAAGTCCAATTACTCTTACAGACCTTGTGACCTGTTTGAAATCCACAGGCTTTTATCATTAGCTTCATTAGCTGGATTTTGACCCTACCACTTAGTTAGTTAAGATACCGCAGGAAATTATTTTTACAATTGTAAATAGGTGGGAAGAGTCTGGACAAAAGTGCATTTGACCAGCCACTGGCTTTTTAAATCTTAATACTCTAGATTAAGATTTGTCTTAGTCTATATTATTCAGCCTCAACTTCGATGCCCTGAATCATACCTCCTAGAAATGAGCTTAAAAAATGTATTCTACGTGGAACATTCAGACCTGGGCATACGTTCACTATCAAAACAGCTGAGAAGCTGATATGTGGGCATGTATACACATAGATAAACATGAACTGCCTTTGGACAAATGATGGGCATGGAGAACCACTCTGCTATCCAGATATGTGAAGATCAAAAGATTTAAAAAAAAAAGGATTTAATATACTGTAATTTTCCCAGCTCCATCTAGAAACTGTCAAAAAAGTAAAGAAAATCTAAACTTGACTGCTAGAATTGCAATCTACAAATGCAATTGAGAAGTCTGAGATAATTTAGGTGAAAAATTACTTTTCTGATGGCACCTTCTGCATTCTTGGTTATTATAAGAGACATACCCTATCGATGTAATGAACACAGAAAATGGAGTCCATTCAGGTTTGTGCTACCTATGAAGTAAATAGCTCCACTTTTTTTATCATAATCTGGTATAAAGGGCCTAGCCAAGGTACAAATGAAGGTCTCATAACTCAGGTGTAACCATGCCTTTAGTCTGTGTGTCCTTGTGACTCAGTTTTCTTGTTTAGATTTCTTCTTTTGGCAAAATATGCCTTAGACAGAAAATGCTCATTTGTCAGCCCAGGGCTTCCAAGGAGCTACACTGATTTTAACAGAACTTACCCGGATATCATCTGAACCTCTGTGCCAGAAGGACAGGAGGATTCATTTGAGGGGGTTGGTGTGTACAAGTTCTTTCTCTGTCTCTTCTGGATCTAGTAGCCTAATTTTGTTTTTTCTGCTGTGTTTTTCGATGGGTATATGTTTCAAGATACAGTTTTCACACTGATAAGTTGATTTTTTTCTGGCAACCCTTCTCTGATTTATCTCTGCTTTCCTCACTGATGCCTTAAAGCAGAGTACCACCAACCCATTTGTATCAGAGCCTTGTCTAAACCATTTAGTGCTGAGAGTGTTTTGGTAAGAATATTTTTAGATCTACTTACATGGACCAGACATCCACTTTTGGACTGTATTTCCTATGAGCAAGGAGTTCTGGGGCAGCATAAGCTGAGCTTCCCCACTGGGTATGTAACAGCTCCTGGGAGAGACCCTCAAATTTTGCAGTATTGCTCAGTCCAAAATCTGACAGTCTCAAAAACAAACACAAAGAAGTTTTAGTGTCTTCTCAAAATAGTTTCACTTTACCAATTGGCTGAAGATAGGATGAAAGATAAAAACAGCAGCTGGCTTTTAGCAGCTTAGAGATCTCAGCTGTGGATGCTAATTTGGGTTCAAATAAATGTGGCATGAATTAGTGGGGGGTTATCAGTGAAGTTACCCCTTGCTTGGTTGATTTTGGTTTAAGTACTTTAGTTTGCCTCAGTTGCCTGCGTGCTAGTCTAAGAGGGCAGCTACACAGCTGCATTAGCGTGGCTTAATGAGCTACGGCATACGCCTCAGCTGGATGTGCTTTAGCCCGTTGTAAACGTGGGGTAAAATGTGCTAACTTAAGCCTTTTTCTCTGTATGCGTGTGCATGTGTGCAAGGGGGAGGGAAGAGAAAGGTGTGATTGTAAAGGACTGGCTGGCTATAAAACAGGGGTGAAGAGTTGGTGCCTTTTTTCTTCGAGGTGTTAAGCTTTTAAAAGTTTGGGAAACACTGGGTTAAACATGTGGCGTCTCTAAAAGTGAGCTTCCCTTGTGGGGATTTTTCTGTGTGGTTTCCATAGAAGAAAATTAATGTTTTAACTTAGCTGTGTTAACTGCCTGGTGCAAATTCCCTCATTTTTATACATGTTCGCTTCACAACTCTAGCAAGGTTTCTTTTAGTGACAAAACCAGTCTTTAAAAGAAAAAAATAACCGTACCAAATGATGAGGTTTCTAGTTGGAGTAATGACTCAACAGAAGCTAATGTGTTCATACCTGCATTTCACCCCAGAAGATTTATTTCTTTGTCCACAAATCACTTCTGCTAGGAACAGCTTTCTACACATAAAAGCTTTAATTGTTTCTTGCTTCTCCAGCAATACACAAGGGAAAACAATAGGCAAAATTGTTTTCTTTGTTCTCTTGAAAATATGTTTTAGTTAAAGCTCAAACAAACAAGCTGTTAAGTTATACTTCATAACTTTTATTTATTCTAAGAGCTCAAGTATGTTTATTGAATAATCACAAGCTCACTCATAAAATGTGCTGTTTAAATGGTAGCTGAACTGTCACTGAAAGCCACACAAAATAAAAAGCTGAAAACAAGATTCACAGGCAACGTACACCTACCAACAATTTTGATGTTGTTGTTCTCATCAAGAAGAAAATTATCAATTTTTAGGTCCCTGACATGAAGACAGAAAGCAAACTTTAAGATGCCTGGTGTCCCAGCTAACCATTTGCAGATAGTTTTTAGCAAAGTTTAATTGAAATAATAACAATAGTTCTGCACAGCTCTGCTCTTACAATTGTAACAAGATCCTTATTCCTTCCTAAAGTTTTGAGTTGGGAAAATGGAAGATTTCTGTATTTCAGGGAATATTTTATGATTATATATTCTAAATAGACCATTCATTTTAGGAATCATCCATTCTACTGATGTTTTTTTTTTAAAAAAAATCAACATTTATTTATTCTTTTGAGTAAAAAAGAAAGTTGTGTGTACTTGGACCCAGAGTGGTTTTGTCTTTATTTGAAGTACCAAGCACTGCTGAGTATTTCTCCTTTCTTTCTGGATAAATCGTGCCTGAGAGATATGAAGGATGAGAAAAGAACTGGAAAGTAGGATCTTGTGTACCAAAGCTGGGTTGGGGACAGATACCCTGAAGGTGGAGACATCTCCGAAGTGATGTTTATGTAAACAGAGTCAACCAGTATCAGCCGCCCCCGCAGGAGGATGTAATTCAGAGCTGCAGGAAAAATGCTCTTAGTTGGCTCAGCACTGACTTGCTTATTGTGGGAACATTTATATCCTTACAAATTCAAACCAAAAGCCAGAATATTGCTCCACCGTGGGGAGCACCCGAAGTGGCGGCTGAAATCTTTTGCAGCGCAGGGGAATCCTCAGCCAGTGTAATTTGGGTGTTGGGAGGCGGTCCAGGAGCCTGTGGTGCTTTGCAGACTCCCATCACGGCCTCCCGCGTGCTGCTGGGGGCTTCCCTTGGCTCTGAGGGGGGCACGGGGGCACAGAGCAAGTTCCCGGAGCGGCTCCGAGTATGTGAATTTCCCTCCCACCCTCTCTGAAGTCATGAAGCGCTTTCATCAGCCCAAAGACCTTGGAGAGTACAGGAGGACAAAGCAGAAGAAGGGATGGGAACAAGGACAGGAGCAAGGAGCAAGGGCTGGGAGGATCAGTGCTGCACAAACAGCACTGCGCTGCTGCGGGGAATTAAGTCTGGGGGTGTACCTGGTGGTTCCAATGGGTGGTTTTATGGGAGCATCCTTTTATCTCCGTGGTTCTGGATGGGACAGCATTGTACTCAAAACCCTCTGCTGCCCCAGGCTGAGAATGGGATGGAGATGGTTTTAATGATAACTTTTTAATCAGATTTAATTTGAATAGCATGTTTTCCAGTGTGGCAAATAAGCCAGTGCCCAAAAGCTGGGAGGTAGATTTAAGATGACTTTGTTCATAACCTATCCCTGTGACATAACCCTATGCACTAAAACCATGTGGTTTAAAAGTAGATGTGTTTCAGGCCACTGCAAACCTGACATTTCTATTGGATTTAGCACCCCACAGTACACTCTGGTGACTTTTACTACACTACAGTTAAATAATGTCACACTGGATTGCCACAACTGCTGTTCTATAGGCTGAGCGGAGTGCTCACACGGTTACTAAAAATTTATGCTTTCTCGCCTGAAAAACCTGATAATGGTCACTATTAAAGTTTACATAGTGTCAAAAGTTATCTTGCATCAAGGATACATCTTGTTCTTTTTTTCCAGAGGAAACTTGCCCAGAAATGTTGTAAGTTTAAGCAACATCACAAATTTTTTCTCATTCCTATGGGGACTTCAGAGAAAGTGCCTAGAGGGCACCTTGTGATGCTTCTCCAGGTCTTTGGTCCAGTAGTGATTCAAAAGGATATATGGCATTTTTGTATCGTAGAAGGGAAAATATCCAGGAAAAATTAGGAACTGTACATACAAGCAAATTACTGTCACTTAGCAAGCACCAGCTTTAGGAGTTGGTAGCCGACTGTGTGCATGTGCTAGCCCAATCCACTTCTGAGCAAAAATAAATTAAATTAGTAAATTCCTAAGCTCATCACTTGGGAATGAGACCTTGCAATAACCAGGCACCTCCATTCAAGTAAAATAAAGGACTCCTGGGCATAGACCCAAGCATGTGCACACAATTATCCATCACCTAGTGTGATTCTACCAGCACCCTTCCCATGGAGCAGCAGCTGTTCCCAACAGGCAGCTTGGGAACCCTTCTTTCCTTGTGTTAAAGCTGTGCAAAAAGTTGAGCTTTGCTCAGTCCTTAGATGGGAAAATCAGATTGACTTTGTGAGGTAACTTTCTTTTTTCTGTGCTCATCTTTCTGGAAAAATTGATGCCTTCTTTTCAGAAGAGGATACACCCACAATTATCCTCGTCAGTTTAACCTCCTCAGTGAGTTGCTATAAATCCCTGCAGCTGGAGCTGAGCAGGGAAGTCCTTCCAGATCCTTCCCAGTCTGCCTCTGGTATGAGGTCAAGGCCACAGCTCTGAATCTCAAAGATAGCAGCAGGTCACAAATTGAGGTACTGCTGACTGAGCCTATGCTCTCAACCTAGCAAGGCAGCTGGGCTCTTGCAGGGCCATGCAACTTCATAAATCCTATGACAAGGTGCTTGAGAGCCAGGGAAGAATTTTACTTTGGTTAGGGGAGTTTGATAGTAAAGCAAGTATCTGGAGGAGCTCACACCACTTTGTAGCTGGCTACTCTCAGGGTGTCCAACAAAATTATCTTTCTCGCAAAGCTTTCCCAGCAAAACATTACCAGCAGAAGATAAAAGTAGGGGAAGAAGTCAGGCTACTCCCTTACTCAG